CGTCGAGGTCGCGCGGGATGCGCAATCGCGCACGGTGCTCACCATCTCGTGGATCACCAGCCACCGCAACGACCTCCTCGCCGACGTCACCTGCACGGCGCTTTGCAAACTCGCGGAGAGCGCGAACGACGCCGAGGAGGAAGGCGGGGTCGATGGGAATGGCGTGCTCCTCCCGGTCGATATCGGCGCGCAGGATAAGATTTTCCGCGTGAAGTGCTTCCACCACATGATCTCGCAATTCTACCCTTGCGTGACGACGAATCTGCTGACGGGGACCTGTAGCGTGGAGCTGCAGGATGGGCAGGTCGTGCAGATCACCGATTGCATCGAGATGGAGGTGCAGGCGGGGAGCAAAAAGCAGGTCGACTACGACTCCGTCGAGGTCGCGAAGCTGAAGACGCTGCTTAAGCGGATCTACCTCACCCTTTTCCCGATCCCCGCGGACGGGGGGTGGTGCGATTGCGGCATGATCCATGGTACGGAGCCGATGGATGAATAACGTGCGAGAACAGCAAAGTGATAAGGAGGGGAGGATGGTGATGCCGTTTCGAGCTTAGTGAATGCTCACGAAGAAAAGAAAATAATCTAAATAATGAAAACGAAAGAATCGCTACTCATGCTACCATTATATATTGTTGCCACTACTAAAAGCTACAGTATTGGGTGTTGTTTATTTCTGGGTTAAAGTTTAGAAAGGCAGTATTCTGGTATCTATAACCATCTTAAAATAAAAAAGAACTTTGCGCGAGAACTAACGAATGGGAATCAGCAGGGCTCGTGTAGAAGGGGGGAATATGACCTTAAATAACAAGGATGGAGGAACGGAAAGGGCTTCCTTTTTCCTTATCGTTAAAGGCGGTCTACACTCCGTCGGGGAGTAACTTCGATCTTTCCCCCTTCCCCCCCCCTGTTAGGAAAAAAAAAATTATGACAAAGTTAGCAAAACAACTTCCTTCTCAACTCGAATTTTTTGGCCGCATTCGCTTCCCTCTCCTCCCTTACATACTTGGTGAAGATAAAGGAATGTGTATTTGTAAAGTAGATGCAGGAATTATAGTTGGCATGCATCAATTGCAGCGCGAGGGAAAAGGTGATATTGTGGCGTGTGCGATGTGCAAGCATTTGATTCGAAGCACATGCTATAAGAAGTTTGGAAAGATGTTTCTTTGGGTCATCGAATTATAAATTATTTAAACAGTATAGTTATAATAGAAAGTGAACCACAACGGTTATATCCTTCTGTTCCAATTACTTTGTTTTATTTTCACATGCTTCAATGTCTTTATATGGCCTTCCTGTGATAAGCCTTTTTATATTGGTTTTAGTTCCCTAGTTTTTCCAGAATTGCCCGCCGCTGATTTTAATTACTTTCTCTTTAAAAAAAAACAGTGATTATAATAGAAAGCCTTGTGATTAAACGTGGGACATTGATTACCGTTCAGAGTAATAGGAATCAATAACCTTTCGGATAATAAGTACACTCGATTCCGATGCTAGATATACACAACATTTTTTCATCATTGCGTCGATACTGATCATTCAATCAATCGATCTATACATTTATACACAACTTTACACACGTACATCTCATTTGGTGCTACAATATCCACAATATTAGCATAGACTCCCATCATGATCAAGAAGGAAGAAGATTCGAAGCATGATATCAAGTCCGATAGGCTGAAAAAAAACGAAGACACGAGCAGCGAAGATGAAGAAATGGACGAAGCCGAGCTGAATTGGTGGGAGCAGGAGAATATGCAAATAGCGACCAGAGGAGAAAAGCGGTGGGATACCCTCCACCACAACGGTGTCCTCTTTCCACCACCATACGAACCGCACGGCATTCCGATTTTTTACGAAGGCGTAGAGTTTAAAATGCTTCCTGAGGAAGAGGAAGTGGCCACCATGTTCGCTGTCTTGAAAGAGAACGACTACTACCGCAACGAGATCTTTCGCCGCAACTTTTTCCGTAGCTGGCGTGAGATATTAGACCGCCGCCCGCACCCCATTCGCCGGCTGGAGCTGTGTGATTTCGAGCCGATCTACCAATGGCATCTCGCACGTCGCGAGAAGAAGTTGAATCGCACGAAAGAGGAGAAGAAAGAGGCGAAGATGCGCGCCGATGCCGAGGCGGAGCCCTATCGCTGGTGTGTTTGGGATGGCCGCAAGGAGCAGGTCGCGAACTTTCGCGTGGAGCCGCCGGATTTGTTTCGCGGGCGTGGAAAGCATCCCTTGGCGGGAACGCTCAAGGCGCGTGTGATGCCGGAGGATATCACGATCAACATCAGCCCGGATGCGAAAATTCCGGATCCCCCCGCCGGGCATCATTGGAAGGCGGTTCAACACGATAACACCGTTACCTGGCTCGCGATGTGGCGGGATAACGTAACGGGAAATTTCAAATACGTCATGCTCGCTCCATCCTCCGCGGTGAAAGGGCAATCCGATCTGGTGAAGTTCGAAACCGCGCGAAAGCTCAAGGATCACGTCGAAACGATCCGCGAAAACTACACCAGGAGTTTTAAATCTTCGGATATCCACACGGCGCAGCGCGCGGTGGCGATGTACTTTATTGACAAGTTGGCGCTTCGTGTGGGGAATGAGAAGGGATCGAATGAGGCCGACACCGTCGGCTGTTGTTCGCTTCGCGTCGAGCACCTGGAGTTGAAGCCGGATAACGTGGTTAAGTTCGACTTCCTCGGGAAGGATTCGATCCGCTACATCAACGAAGTGAAGGTGCTGCCGGAGGTTTACGCGCTGCTTGCTAGGTTTACACGCGGAAAGCGCAAAGACGACGACGTCTTCGACCACCTAACACCAACGCAGCTCAACGATCACCTCAAGTCGTTCATGGAAGGCCTCTCGGCGAAGGTTTTCCGTACCTACAACGCCTCCATCACACTAGACCGGTGGTTCAAAGAGAAACCTGTAGATCCGAAGAGCACCATCCCGGAAAAGCTCGCCTACTTCAACAAAGCCAACATGGAAGTGGCCATCCTCTGCAACCATCAGAAATCGGTCTCGAAGAGTTTCGCCAAGCAATTCGCCCAACTAACGGGGAAGGCGCAGCACACGAAACGAATTCTCGACGGTCTCAAGAAAGTGCGGGACACGGCGAAGAGCAAATCCTTCGAGGCGGCTGTTAAGGAATTCTTCGAGGAGCAGGATCGCGTGCAGTACGAATGGCTCGATTTGTACGGAACGGAGGAGCAGAAGAAGGAATACGCGGAGTTGGTAGCGAATCGCGAAAAACCAAAGATTCGCTGCACCTCTGGCAATAAGAAGAAAAGCTCGACGTCCAAATCCAAGGCGAAGTCCGCGAAGAAGTCCAAGCCGGCGGCGAGGAAGAATGGTGCGAAAAAGGGGAAATCCAAAAGCACCAAAAAGACCAAAAAAGCAGTCCCAAAGAAGGCCTCGCCGAAATCCAAAGCTCCAGCTACGAAAATCAAAAAGGAAGAGGCGGACGTCCCTAATGGGAAGACTCTCGCTAGCATGGCCTCGAAAAAACGCCCTGCAAAACGTCCTCGTGCAGTGAAAGAGGAAGAAAGCGAAGATGATGTTCCTATATCAGCATTATAGAAGACTACGAATAATGGCATGAGATAACTGAATAACATGAAGGAAGCAATTCGGCAAGTGTCTAGCCATAATTATTTTTTGCCATAATTGTTTTCACCTCGACGGAAGTTGTTGTTTTTTCTTCGTGGGAAACAGCGGTTTTTTCCCACTTGAGGAAAAATAAGAGGACGATAATACAGGATAATAGATAATTGATTAGAGCTAAAAGGAGTGGAAGACAACGCAAACCGCTGTCTCTTCGATAATATGTAAGAGAAAGCTGATAAAGTCTCCATGGTGAAGTTTTCCTGTGAGCTCGTTCTTAGAGTGTACCGATTTTACAATCGAGTAGGGAGCAAATAAGGGGGTAAGTTCATCAATAAGTATAAAGCTCTCCAATATCAAGTAAAAGGTGATACGCAAGGGGGCTACGCTCTAAAATCAAAGTGAAAGGAGGGGGAAGGGATAGAAGTAGCCAGCTAAAGAGCTTATGCAATCGTTGTTCTTATGTCCCTTGATTTACATCTTTTTTTTGGAGGAGGGAAGGGGTAAGGGTGCTCCAACCCCACCCCCCATCCCCCTCAAAAAAAAAAAACTAAGTGGTTTCAGACTTTTTTGATACCCTGTTTGAGACCTTTATATCTGTTTCACCTTTTGAATTATAATAAAATGTATTCCTCTGAATAATTAAACTTCCGTGTTGTTGTCACGGTGTCGCTGCCCTCATTGGTGTTTATGAGGCCCATTGACCATGGTCTGGTAAAATATTGATGTCTGTGTATGTGTACATAAATATAAAATACATGCACACTTGTACGATTAGATGATCGTTTATTTATTTACTTATAGTATTCCCCACCAATTTGGGGTTCACATTCAGTCTGTTGCTGCTTCTCCCGCCTTTCACCCTTGGAAACTCAATACTTTCTATTCCCTCGATGGGATATACCTTTTTCATGGTGTTCAACGCATCCAGCAGGGAAGGTTCGACGTGCTGACAACAGTCACACGCATACATATATATATATATATATATATGTATATATATAGAAAAGAAGGTGATCCATAAACATAGGTCTCATAGATTCATAGCTTTTTGTATTCAAAACGATCTAAATCCTTTAGCGTCGCTGTATTTATTCTAATTATTAATGTCGCTTAAAACCCTTTCCGGTCATATTCGGCTTCACCCGGAAGACATAGATAGATCCTCCCAAAAGTTGACCTGCACTTCGAAAAATATCGCCGAAGTAGATATCAATCCAGATGCGCTCTGGATGCTCGTCGCGGGTGGCTCCAAGAAAGTTCAGGGCATGGCGCGCGCGTATTTAGCGTTGTCAGCGGGAAGAAAATACCCCAATTCCGGCGCAGCGGATACGGCAGCAGCCCTGCCTGGAGGGAAAACTCAACAGATGGGTGGCTCGTCATCGTCCGCTGCTCACGCCGCGCACCCTCCGGAGGAGCCCTACTTCAACTTAGCGACTGCCTTTTCACTCCACACGGTGCTGCTCTCGCGAAATCACCTCACACAGACACTCGGGTTGGTGCAGTTCCGAAACGTCGTACGACTTTCCCTTCTTGGGAACCGCATCCGACGGATCGAGGACTGCGAGCCCCTTGGCCTCCTCTCGCAGCTCGCGTATCTTTCACTGGAGTTTAACCCGGTTACCACGGTCCCCCATTACGGCGCGCATTTGCTCAGAATCTGCAGCTTTCCCCATCCCCTCGAAGACGGCAGGTGTCGTCTGCGCAAACTCGACGGATGCGCGGTTCGTATGGTGGATATCACCACCTCGGCGCTTTGCCTACAGCGGGAGATGGTGATTCTGCCGGAGCTGCTCCAGCGGAACTACCTCGTGTCGTTTCTCACGCATGTGGAAAAAACGATGCGAGTCCACGCGGAGATGAGAAATCGGGGATTTCTGATAGGCTGTCTTCAAACCAACAATAAGCTCGATGCCATCGTGAAACACTGCTCAAAGGCGGCCTTATGTAGGTGTGGAATTCATGAAACGGTGCACGCCACTCAGCTCCTCCTCGCCAAATCGCTGAGGCAGCTGAAAAGGCATAAAAAAACAGCTCTTTCACTTGATCCTAACGATCATGGGGTGAATCCACCACTGGCCTCGGCGCTTTCCTCCAGCTTCACCATCGATGAGTCGGTCGAAACGCGGACTGCCTTGGATGGGAGTACGATTAGTGTGCTTGACGACACCACTGAGATCGTTTTGGGAGATCTTCAATGGAGCAAAGACTCCCTGCGAAATGCCGAGGCGGCGAGGGTGTGCGCGACGTGCAAGGTGTGCTCTCAAGAGGTCTTTCGGCGTCTGATTTCCATGCTGGACGTGCGGCTTTGTGCATGCCTACTTCGAATTGCGCGACTGCTCGGTACCTCTCTTCTCTCTAAGGATGTGGATGTTCTGTGCGAAATGTGGCTCTCCATCGCGTTGAGCTCCGGAGAGACGAAGCTGGCGGATATTTACGCGAAGAAGATGCCCAAGGTGCTTGACGACGCAGGTCCGAAGCATGAAAGTGATCCGCGTCGAATGAATCAGAAAGACGATGAAGAGAGGCAAGATAAGGATTCCTCTACAGGAAAAAGAAAAGCCCTCGAACGCGTTCCTATTGCTGAGCACCAGCCTTCGTCATCTTCTCTTGCCTCTCCTTCGGATGCAACCCCCCCACGGAGGCGAACGATTACGAAACCCAGCGTCGCCTGTGAGCTTTTTCCAGACAATGGGGAGAACGAACCCCAAGAGGTGAGCTCGAGAACATCGTCATTGCAGCTTACCGAGCAAACCCTCTCCACCGCCAGCCAGTGCGCGTCTGAAAAGCAACCCGTAGGAGTGGAATCACCCGCCGAGGAAGAGATCATTCAAATGGATAGCAATATGATGAACACGACGCCGGATTTAACAGGGCTTACCTCTCTTAAGGCATGTCCGACGCCATCGTACCCTTCTTCGGATGCCACGCACCTGCCATCGATCCTCCTGGAGGGGTTTCATTCGAAGTCCACCCCGAGCGCTCGCGCTACCGACGAATCCAGCACAGGTGAGAAGGCGCGTATCACAATCCTGACGAAGCTTCATCAAACCGGGGTGAAAACCGTCGCCTTTGGGGTTTGGAAACGAGCGCTCTCGCGAAGACGTCGGTTAAGGGGTTTTTACCAGCGCCTTAGAGCGAGGGCGAGGAGCCTGCCCGTGCAGGAGCAGGTTTCGAACCCGTTAATGATTCGCTTCGTGATGGATTGCTCGTATTCGGAGCGGCAAAGGGTATTCTTTCTCGTGTGGAAGCAACGAATTGAGGAGGCGTGGCGGGTACGGATGGCTCGACGGCGGGCTTTGCTGCGTCTTTGGCGGCGGCGCGCGCACGACTTACGGTTGTGTGAAGAGATGCATTACGCGGTGGAAATGCGGCGCATCGAAAAGGCGTTTAGCGTCTGGAAACGGCGTGGGGTGGTGAAAAGCGATCGACGGTTCCGGGAGTGCCAGACGCGGGAGCTTCAAGCCGCGCTACGTCACCCTCGCGGGATGGTATCGTCTCCGGCAAACGGACGGGAGGCTCCCACACGCGCGAGGGAGGGAAGTGATCCCACCGTGCCCGTTGCCATAGGGGAAAAGGTCGGTTTGGAAGGCCGCATCCACGATCAGACGACGCCCTCTGAACGTGGCGCCTCTCCTTCTTTCCGGGAATCGAAGGAAAGGGAGGTGCATTCCTCTTCCCCCTCCGCCGAGGTGGGGGGAACGCCTCCAAAACCCCCCTCTACCCCGTACGTGGGGCGTGCGTTAGCTACGAACGACACCCTTGCGGATCTGACCGTCGCGCACCCCTTCTCCGAGGACGACGTCGCCGCGTTGGTGGAAAAAGCCTCCTTTCTCCTGCGCGATCGCGAGGTGTTGATCAAACGCCTCGTGGATCAACTCGTGGAGTGCGAGAAAGCCCGCGCCGTCTCGCGTTGGTATGAAAAGAAAGTAGCGCTGCTGCAGGCCGATCTCGAAAAGCGGGCGCACCGCGAGGAGGAAGCGCGGCGTGTGCGGCAGGAATACGAAGCCGAGCTGAAGCACCTTCGGAGGTGCGTAGGGGAACTACGGGCGGAACGTCAGGAGCGGTTGGAAAAGCTCGCCCCTTGCTAAGTCCGCTTTGAAAATGCTGCTGGAAAAAAGGAACCCAAAACCCCACGGAACCGTTCTTATGAAAAAGCGTATGGTAAACATTCACTCATTCAATTTCTGCTCCCCCTCTTCTGATGGGCATTCCAATGACAACCTATCCATCTAGGTCGTTCTTCTTCCCTTATTTTTCCTTTTTTTCCCCTCTATTTGGGTTTGCACCCCCTTCTTACACACACACACACACACACACCTTTTTTAGTAGTTTAGGAACCCCTGACGTTTTCGATGTTTGGTGGTGGGGAGGAGTACTTTCAGGAGCCGCCGGAGATCAATCGCGAGACGCTCCGGCGGTTTGCCGCCTTCTGCGCCCGACTTCGCGGGTTGGAAAAGCCGGGGAAAAAAGTGATCGCCGAGGCCGCCGCCCTCGCGCGCGAGGTCGGGGATGATCCCCAGGCCTACGAGCTCGTCATCGGGGCTCTTTTTCGCCATATCAAGTCGTGGAAAGGCACCCATCAGCTCGCCTGTTGGTACGTCCTCGATCAGCTGGCGAAGGAGGCGCGGGATAAGTACGGCTACGTCGCCGGGAAGTACCTCCTTGAGGTGGGGCGGGATTTCATCCCTTACGAGGATCCTGCCCTCGCGACGCGCTACGAAAGGCTTGTGGCGCACTGGGAGCGGGTTTTCCCCCGCCACGTCGTGGATGCGCTTTGGATGGCGAAAAAAGAACGCCTGTGGGCGGCAAGCCACCCGGAGGAGGAGCGGGCGCGGCGTCGCGCCGAGGAGGAGATGTGGGAACGGGAGGAGCGCGCGATGACCGAGGATGACGGTCTCAACCTTTTCGGCCAGCCCTGCCTGGATTACCTCCAAGGCCGGTGCGCGTGGGGGGCGGATTGCCGCTTTCTCCATCCCCCAGGCGAGGAAGGCTCGCTCCCGCCGGAGTGTCGGATGGGGGATTGGAAGTGCCCTTCTTGTGGGGTGATCAACCGTCATTTTCGCCGGCGATGCGCGAACTGCGTGCGGGAGAAGCCGCAGTATCAAAAAGTCCGCACGCCGACCGCGGAGGATGCCCTGTTGAGCGCCCCGGACGCCGCCGCGTTGGAGGCACTTCGGCAGCAATTTGGCTACAACCCCGCCTTCCCCGAGGAGGCCCTCGCGCATTGGCGGCTGCGTTTAGAGGGGACGGACCTCGCGGCGTACCTCGCGGAGCGGCGGGCGGCCTACCGCGTTCGCATCCTCGCCCGACCCCCAACCAACCCGTTGGAGGAGCGGTGTAAAAATCAAAAACACTTCCCGGATGTCGATATCGGACCAGATGAGGCGTATTTGCGGCTTCTCGCGTCCGGTGGCGCGCGAGACGACGCCGCGGCACCGGCGAAACGCGGGCGATACGAAGGGTTCATCCCACCCGGAACGACCCCCTCCAGCGCGGTGGCGATTCTTTCGCAGATGATTTTAGAACGCGGCGTGCGGGATTCTACGACGGCAGCGCTTTTCACGGAGCTCGGGCGGTATATTCGCGCTTTAGCAGGAGGGGAAGAGGGGCTCACCCCGGTGCAGGCGGAGGCCCTCTTGTCGGCAGCCAGGCTTGGGTTTACCGCTTGGAATACGAATAGAGAGAGCGTGCTCTTTGTGGCGGCATTTTTTAAGACGATCCGCCACGTCGAGGATCGAATCGGGTTAAGCGCGACGGACTCTAGCACCTTGCTTGCGATGACAACCAACTTCTTGGCTTAAGTGGCGTCCAGACGGGAAACGATCTAGAACTAGTGGAGAGGAAAATGGGTGTATAAATGGAAAGCTTCTGAGCAAGGGTGTGGGCAATTCACGGTTAATTGTACAGATGAAAAAAGAAGGGGGAGGAAAGTGTGGATCCTTGGTGACGTTCATTGAGAGGATAGACATATATGTGGGTGGGTGGGTGTATGTATGCTTGTCTTTTCCCTCTCCACTCCTTTCACTCTTCGGCGTTTTCATGATATCAGGGCAAGCATAAAATCTGAAAATATTCAGGTCATATAAAAGGTGTAACCACCGCGGTAGTTTTCTTTTTTCCCTTATCTACCCAATGAGCTCCGTGCTTTTAAATGAGCCCATTTTGTTTGGCTCAGACCCCAACATCAAGGATAATGTCTTCATTGCTTCGGCGCAGGTTGAGGAGTCTGAGGCCCTAAAGGATCATACACTTGTCCAGGAAGTGCTGCGAGAGCTTCGCAAATGCATTCGAGCCAAAGGTGTCGATGCCAAGCTCCTAAGGCTCGCTGATGAACCAAAAGGTCACATCCTATACGCCTCCAAAGGGGATTCTGTCTTCCCTAACAACTGCATCTCCTTCCATAATTTTACCGATGACAAGGGTGTTATTGTGCGTCGTGTTGTAATTCTTTACCCAATGAGTCTCTACCGCAGAGGCGAGCTTCCAAACGAACAGCTAATTGACAAATTAAAGCGCGCCGCCGAAGAAAAGCTCATCCAACTGGTGGATCTGCGCGGCTTCGAGGCAGAGAATCGCTGCCTGGAGGGCACCGGCGCGCTTAACTTTTCCTATGATGGCGCCTACGTTTATATGTCGCGCTCCGGCCGCACAGACGATGCCCTTCTTGACATCGTCTGCAGTGAAGATAATTTGAAAATCCCAAAAGAGCGCCGGTTTGTGTTTTCATCCGCAACGCCTCGCGCAGATGGAGGTGAGGATCTGGTTTACCATACCAACGTGGTGGGGTGGTGTGGAAAGCGCATCTGCGCCTGGGCGCTGGACCTCCTCCGATTCGAATCCGATAACGCACGAAACGCATTTTACGAACACTTGCTTCGTGAGTACGATTGCATTCTTAAGCTCAGCGCCAAAGAAATCAGCCATTATGCTGGGAATGCCTTCGAGCTCACCGGACGCACCGCAGATGGTGCTGAGTTACCTTTCCTTTGCATCTCGAACACAGCGCTTGATAACTTGGATTCGAGAAACTGGAATCTCCTTGGACGATGGTACGGTCCAGAAAACGTTTTGGGATTTATGGGCGAAGTATTGGAAAGACGTGCTGGTGGTTCTATTCGTTGCGTTATGGGTGCGTCCTTTACGGTAGGAAACGTATACCCCGCAGTCGGTGAACCCTCAACTCTGGAGCACATTGGAGTTGTCGACTGTTCGGAGTAAAGGCCCAACAATAAATATATTCATTTTAAAAAAAAGATAAATATAAATATATTAAAATATATATGTGTGTATATATATGCATATATGTTGAAAACGCATGGATTCAACGATATCTTTGTCTCTCATTAGTTCGCAATTCTTAATGTTCTGATCTCCTTTATATATTTTTTTAAAAGACGGTCCACGAATAAAAATGCAAGATTATATAATTTATATTTTTCTCTCCATTTATTTATGGTGTCGTTTATATTTTTGTGTGCTTTCACAAAAAAAAAATACTCTTTTCTTCATTTTCCCATTGTCTTGATAGTATTTCATTTGGTGTAGTGCAGAAAACAGGCGTGGCATCGTCGACCTATAGCCCTCGTACAAGCCCAACCACTCAAATGATAGGAAAACTGAGCAGCCTGGCACCCAAATTGTTTTCTAACTGGAACGTATGCGGCTTCGCTCGAGCAATGAGAACGTGTGCCCTGTGGAATGGCAAGAACACGTGTGCAAGTCCTCAAATGTTTACCCCTTACCGTTTTTGCAGCTCCTCTCGAAGAAACTACTCAGAGGTGGAGCTGATGGAGCTTAACCAAAAAGCTACGCAAGCATTTAAGGAAGGGAACTACGAGGAGGCGATTGATCTGTGGGAGGTGGTCTCACGCTCAGAGAACCATTCAAGGGACAGCCCGGCTGTGATAAGCTGCCTCAACAACCTAGCCTCTGTCTATGGCAAAATAGGCAAAAACGTTCGGAAGATCGAAATTCTCGAAAGCGCTCGACAAGTTGCAGAGAGGGTGTATGGCGTGAAGCACCCGCAGTACGCCATGTCGCTCTATCATCTAGCCTGTGCCAAAGAGGAGGTAGGCATGTACGAAGACATGTGTCGATGCGTGGAAGAGTCCTTAGCGGTGCATGAGAAACATTTTAATCCCAAAAGCATCAAGGTGGCCCGCGTATTACTTTTATTGGCAAATGCGCATGAGAAGCTCGGCCAGCCAGGGGCCCAGCTGAGTAGCGCTGAGCGCGCTTATGAAATAACCAAGCACCACTACGGTGCGGAACACATGCAAACAGCATCCGCGTTGATGATACTTGGCCGCGCCTACGGTGCGAACAATCAACCGGAGCAATACCTGAAGCTCGCGCAAAGAGCGTTTGAGATTCAGGAAAATCGACTGGGCGCTAACAACCCCCAGCTCGCTCTAGGCCTGTTGGAGCTCGCCAAGGCGCACGCGGCGAGCGGGGATTACGTTAAGCAGAAGGAATTGTTGGAACAGGCAATAGGTGTGCAGGAGCAGGCTCTTGGCGAACAGCCCACCTATCTTGTGGATACCTATCTATCCCTCGGCGACGCGTATCGGCAGTTCGGAGAGGTGGCGTCTATGGCTCAGTGTTATAACGAAGCCCTGAAAATCGCACAGCACCGGGATGGTGAGAATCCTGTAGAAGTTGGGAGAGCTGCCACGAAAGCGGCGCTGGGGAATCTACAACAGGGTAGCCTAGCAAAGGCACGTCGGCTTGCCGATGAAGCGACGGAACTGTTGTCGATGGTATCACCCAGTCATCCCTTGGCAAAGGAGTTGACTGAAATCAAAGAGAAGCTAGCAGAAAAAGAGAAACGGAAACAATAGAGTTGATACTCGTTGTGGAGGTTCTTCGAGAAGAAGCAGGACGATTGGAATGTGCATTAGCTTGGTCGGGGTAAGGTAGTGGAGTTGTTATATCCTGCAATCGTTGCCTCAGTTAAGAGACTTCTTTTGCTTGCTTACATGCTATGCTTTTTTTTGCGTTGTTGCGCTGAAAAAAATAAAGGGATTTATCATGCACATATTTACTAACGGTCCACTGAATGAATGCAATTTGAATCACGAGACATGCATGGAGCGTCGATCTATATCTGTAAGTCTATCTTCGAAAGGTTTAATTAGTATCTGCAAAGGAGATAAGAATACCTTTAGATTTGGATTTAAATATAAAAATAAATATATTTTACTTAAACTTTCATCGCTTTTCCTTTACTAATGTCTGCGATAAAGATTGAAGAAGTGGTTTCCACCACTAAAAAAGAGCGTGTGGCAGCTCACAGCCATGTCAAAGGGCTTGGGCTAAATGCAAACGGCACCGCTGAGCCTTTCAGCGATGGATTGGTTGGGCAAATAAAAGCACGAGAAGCGGCTGGCATTGTAGTGGAGCTTATTCGTTCAAAAAAGATGGCTGGGCGTGCTCTTCTCTTTGCCGGCCCACCGGGAACGGGGAAGACTGCGTTGGCTATGGGTATCTCCAAGGAACTCGGGCCAAAGGTCCCCTTCTACCCGATGATTGGCAGTGAGGTGTACAGTGCGGAGGTAAAGAAGACGGAGGTGCTTATGGAGAATTTTCGGCGTGCCATCGGGTTACGCATCAAAGAGAACAAGGAGGTATATGAGGGTGAGGTAACCGAATTGCGTGCTGAGGAAACCGATAATCCGCTCGGTGGCTACGGTAAGTCCATTTCACACGTCATTATCTCGCTTAAGTCGCAAAAGGGGACGAAGCAGCTCAAACTGGATGCCGCCATATATGAAAGCCTTGAAAAGGAAAAAGTGTCGGTTGGCGATGTCATCTACATCGAGGCAAGCTCTGGTGCAGTGAAGCGGGTGGGTCGCTCCGATGTGTACATCGGTGATCACGACCTTGAGGCTGACGAGTATGTGCCGATACCAAAGGGGGACGTGCATAAAAAAAAGGAAGTTATCCAGGATGTGACGCTGCACGACCTTGATATGGCCAATGCAAAACCGAACCAGGGGCAAGATGCTCTCTCTCTCGTGAACAGCCTTATACGCCAGAAGAAAACGGAGGTGACGGAGAAATTACGTCAGGAAATTAATAAGGTGGTAAACAAATACATTGATCAAGGCGTCGCGGAACTGGTTCCAGGGGTTCTTTTTATCGACGAGGTGCATATGCTTGATATCGAGTGTTTTACGTATCTTAACAAAGCACTGGAATCTACCTTAGCGCCGGTTGTTATATTTGCCACTAACCGCGGTAGCTGCCGAATTCGTGGGACCGAGATTAGAGCCCCGCATGGCATGCCGACCGATCTCCTGGATCGTCTTTTGATCATTCGTACCATGAATTACCAAGTTTCCTATATTAAACACATCACTGAGATTCGCGCTCGTGTGGAGGGAGTGAAGCTTTCGGAAGAGGCTCTGGAAAAGCTAGGTTCTATCGGTGAGGTGACCTCGCTACGATACGCGACGCAGCTGCTCTCCCCGGCCTCGATAATCGCAGAGACCAAAGGGCGGGATGTGATAACCCTAGAGGACGTCGAGTTAGTTGATTATCTGTTCAAGGATGCAAAGGCGTCGGCCAAGATGCTACAAGAAAACGCTGATGATTACGTGTATCAGTAAAAATGTACGTTGTGCTACTTATTATTCTGTCAGGAATGAAGATTAGGAACTACCCTTTTACACACACTGTACATGTATATGTATAGTGTCAGACTTTTAACGTGGCATTTGTTAATTTATTATTGAAAAGTGAAATTTAAAAAGACCAAAATAAAAGGATATCGGCACACCATGTTGTGGGCCTGTTTTGCCTCACTCGACGAGTATCGGATCCGACCCGAGTGGCTTAATGAACATGATACAAAAAAAGAAAATACTAAACGGTGACCTGTCTCTTCTCCAGCTCTTTTATGTGGAAAAGAAAAGAGCCACACACACACACGCACACACAAAGTGTCACAGGCGCACCTCAAAAGGGCTTCGTGGGATAGACGGATGCCCCCGGGCTGACCCAGTGGTGTTGGTGATGTTGGAGTTTTACCTCAGGGAAGGGCCTCCTCGTCGTCTCG